TGTAGTGATAAATCTGTGTTCATAATGTACCAGTGCTTTCTTAAGATGTTTTCACCTGGGCACATTTTTAATCCGTTTTGTCTTGTATTATAACATCAAATCTGTTTCTGGCTCCTTTGATCCACTCCTTCCTTGGGTCTTCGCAACTGGAAGGGATTTTCTAGGTCATCTGCTTGTTTGACGTCATCTTTCTGCTGAGTGCAAATTCTTCTGACCTGATTAAATTGGCCGATCGGCAGACTTTATTTTCACTTTCCATTCAACTCGAAGGTGGGGGTTCCGGCGGTGGTGAAAGAAGAACAGAATTTTGTTACTTGGACACTTCCTTATATCTGTCTGCAGGGAGGAGCTAACTACACTGGAACTACTCTGAAACTAGCACACACTTGTTTACAGTGTCTGTTTGTTAGTGAGGCCTATTGAACTGCACTGAGTGTTCTGCAGAAATTCCTGTCTGTTTGTGGAGATCCAAAATGGGAATGGAATCAGAACCCAGGAGAAATGGCGTCACTATTCCTTACATGGCTGGTGCTTCTGAAAAACTACAGAGGATTTTCAGACAACATGAGATCCCAGACTATTTCAAACCTACAAACACTGGTCCATCCAAAGGGCAAAACACTGAGCCTCAGACAAAGCAATGAGCTCTTCTCCATTCAGTGTAGTGAAGACTGAAGTGAACGCCACACTGGAAAAACTAAACAGACACCAACACAGAAGAGAGAGCAACACAGGACCTCAGTCTGCTGTACATCTCCACTTAAAAGGACCTCATTCTGCTGTATATGTCCACCTAAAAGCCTCGGGCCTCTCCTTTGAGGACAGTGAGGTACAGATCTGAGCCAGAGAAAAGAATTGGTTTGAGATGAGAGTTAAAGAGGCTACTTTTGTTAAGAAAGAGAATCCTTCTCTAAACAGAAATGGAGGCCTCAGACACCATCTATCTCCTATTTACAACTCCATCCTCAAACCTAAATCAAAACAAACAAGAGAACAACAGGTGTATCCAGGTCAGGTCCAGAGGTGTGGAAGCTCCATTATGGACATGAATTGTTCTGTTAATTAGACCCCACACCCTGTACAGGTCAATAGGCCCAACTAACAAAAACTATAAACAAGTGTGTGTTAGTTTCAGTCAGTTAGCTCCTTCCTCCAAACAGATATAAGGAAGTGTCCACCAGCGTCTGACCAGAACTGAAGAAGCAGCTTGGATGAGCTGTGAAATGTCTTTGAACAAATAAACATTTGTCCATTTGACAAACTGAATTTTTCCTTTTGCCATGATTCTACCTGCACCACTCAGGGATTTTACACACATCTTAAGTTAAAGTATCCGTACCCAGTACCCATTTAAAAATGTACTTAAAGCAGGAGTGTCAAACATACGGCCCGGCCCTCCAAGTCTCTTTTTCTCTTTGTCTCTTTCCAAACGCTCTTAAAGGACGATCGTTTTGACTGTTGACCGTGACACCCTCATCAACAAAATGTCCAACATGAGAAAAGTGGAGCCGAGTGCAGGATTTTACAACAAAAATGGACTTATTTCCATTTACATACAAGTTCAGGTTAAAACATTGTGTTGAAATTACATTTTTCTTAAACTTTCAGGTTGTTCATAATATTGTAATATTTTGTAAATGAAAGAGTTCATCAATTAAAAAAGATTTCTGTAACAGATTTGTGTTTCTCTGCACAAATATTTGAACTTATTGTTATTTTTGGGGTTTATATGTCATGAGTTTTCTGATCCGACCCCTTTGGGATCAAAGTCGGTTGGATACGGCCCCCGGACCAAAATGAGTTTGACACCCCTGATCTAAAAAGTAAAAGGTAAGTAAATATTTTGTGCAGATCTAATAAAACTTGAACTGTACATTTGGATAAAGATTTGTGTTGAATTTAGGTCAACAGAAACAAAATCTGTCTTTTTTCAGCTGTTTATACAGTATGTTTATTTAATATACAGAGAAAACATCAAATATATGAAGTAAAATGTGTGGGATCAAGTAGCAAATAAAAGAAAAGTTTTGTAACTCTACTGAATTCTCAAAGTGTCCACTCTGCTTTGTCGAAAAATATTTAGTGTTTAGTATTTCTTTGCTTCATACAGAGATACAGATTAAATGAGAGGGTGTGTCCAAACTTTTGGAGGTAATTTATAATCCATGTATCACTTTACTATTTGAAATGAGATATTTGTTCTTTTAACAGGCCTGAAACGGAACGAGTCAGTCAAGATATGTGTGTGTCACCTGAGTCTTATAATGAGAGTGTGTAAACGAAATGGAAACTCATCTTCTTGATTCCAGTTAAAACCAAACTTCAGAACAGCTGAGTTATGAAATATGACAGTTTGATTGAGGAAGATTATAGATTATGGAAACAAGCAGATGAAGGCCCTCCTCCTCCAACTATAGAGCCAGGTTTGTGGAGATGCAAGCCCACTCAGGACACAACTTTCTGTTCTGTTTTACAGTACAATAAATCCATCCAACACAAAACAGAACACACAAACAAACAAACAAACAAACAATGGATTTTTTACTCAAATGAATGAATGTTTATTTGGACAGTAATACATAGAACATAAATAAAAAATGTAAAGATATAACACAAAAAGTAAACATTTCTATTCTATAATAACAGGCAAAATAAATGTTACGCCAAGTTTTCCTTGTGTCCGAAAAAGGAGTGGGAGGAAGTAAATACTTATTTAACCGCAGCCCTTTTTTCTACTGTCCCAGATGAACAAAGAACATATAAACTTCCTATTTCCTGTACAATATGAGCAATAATTGCACAGTACCTGCATTGCATTACAAATCTAACAACAACAACAACAAATATATGTATATTATGTGCACAGATCTAGTACACATCCTACAAATAACAATTAAATAATAAAAAAAAGCACACTACAAGAAGCTCACGGCTCTGTGCCGCTAATGCCAATTGTTCAAACAGCTTTTAATGTATATTTCTGAATTATTTTTGTTTGCAATCTTGCATGTTCTTAAAATGTTTTCTTTTGACAGGAGACCCTCTCAGGTTTCAGTGGAATTGGACTAATCAAAATGAAATGTAATAACATGAACGTGAGACGCTTCTGTGAAGAGATCTGTGTGTGTGAAGAGGAGATCTGTGTTTGTGAAGAGGAGATCTGTGTTTGTGAAGAGGAGATCTGTGTGTGTGAAGAGGAGATCTGTGTGTGTGAAGAGGAGATCTGTGTGTGTGAAGAGGAGATCTGTGTGTGTGAAGAGGAGATCTGTGTCATTGAAGAGGCCTGAGTTCTGAAGAGAAGACTTCACCTGTGAGTTTGCACCTAAACATTTGATTGGATTAGTTATTATTTGATTTGTTTTCGTGCTTTTTAATGAGAGTTTTTCTCTCTTTGTTTCAGTCCTGTAAATCTGCCTGTAGTCAACAAGAACCAGCCAATAACAAGTGCTGATTGTGCCTCTGCAGAACTCCACCTACATGTTACAACAGGACGCTCTGTGATGTTTGAATTGTCAAATAAAGAATTAAGCGGAACTCACCAAGTGGTATGTTTTTCTTGGGGTTAGTGTAGTGATGATGTCATACTGTACTTAAGTCTTACAGTTATTTACAGTAAAGGAAACTAAAGTTACATGAAAGTAAATCAATAAAACTAATGCAGAATAATAAGCAGCGTAGCTGAGGTCAAATGTTTATCTATGAGTATCTAATATGAGAAGAATAAGACTAATACAATCTGCGCTGAGGCCATAGTTCACTTCTCTTCTTTAATCACACATTACAAGTTGAGACGTCGTCAGTTATTGTTTTTAACTTTGTGGAATCTCGTGACAGAATAAGTTTTAAGTTTACTGAAATGAACTTTGACTTTACAGTGGAAGGTGCGTTATGTCACTTGTTTCTGGAGATGTCACTGGAATGTTCCACAGTGTGGCATTAAACAGCTCTACCTTACATTTATAAAATGACAGGTGGTTTTATGGGTCCAAACAGACATTGTGATTGTGAGCAGGGTCGCCGCTCCACAGATCTTGGTCTGGTTTGGTCTCCATGAAGAGAGAAAGGTTTAATGCAGGGGTGTCCAAACTTTTTTCATCAAGGGCCACATCTCTAAACACAGATGAAGCTGAGGGCCGATCGAGGCCGTAAAATGGTGCTCAATACAGTAAAGAATAGAATAGAATAGAAAGCCTTTATTGTCACTATGCAATAGTACAATGAAATTCAGAGGTGCTCCGTCAAAGTGCAAGAATTAAACAAAATAAATAAAACAAATTAACAGTTCTCATTCAGTTTGGTGACAGCTTTGGGGAAGAAACTGTCCCTGAGTCTGTTGGTCCTTGCTGGAATTGACCTGAAGCTCCTGTCAGAAGGCAACAAGTTGAACAGGTGGAATTAAATATGTGCATGTTTAACATGTTAGAATGAGCCGTCAGTCTTTTTTCACGCTAAGATCCTCAAAACACTAAATATTCAATATTGGCTTTATCAAGGTAGATTTTCAAAAAAACTTCCAATAAAAAGTTCATTTTTCATTGATGCAAGGACATTTGGGCCAATTCTCCTGGAAGCCTGAGGGCTAAGAAAAATTTGTCTGAGGGCCGCATTTGGCCCACGGGCCATAGTTTGGACATGCCTGGTTTAATGCCATACTGTGCAACATTCCAGACAAAGAAATAAGATCTCCATAGAGAAAAGCATTTGACCAACATTCCATTAGAAAAGTTACACAATGCATCTTTAATTAGGCTATAAAAGTGGAACAATGCAGAACAATAGAAATGAAACAATGCTCTACACAAGTCGGGAAACTCTTGTTTGTCTCTATGTTTTCTAATCCTGTGTTATTCCATCTGACGCGCTTACATAAAGAGCTCGTATGATCACATATTTTACAAATAGTGTAGTAGTTAGATTAGTGGGCATGGTGCCCACACACACCCACACAAACCTTTACCTTTACCGCACACAGCCTCTTCCTCCAAGGAAGTGGACGGGAAAAAAAAAAAAAAAAAAAGTACAGATGATAGCGCTCGGCTGTGTATAAAAAGGCATGCTGCTGCTTCAGCAGGTATCCAACTCTGAACCTTCTGCAAGACGACAGCAAAGGTGAGAGCACCACTTCCACCATTATATTATACAGGATTTTTATGTCAGAAACTTTTTTAATGAGATGTACTTTAATTGCAAAACATTTTAATAATAATAAATTACCTTTATTTATATACACTTTCAATACATTTTAAACATTTATGTACATTTTAGCTGTTTTATTTATTTATGTATTTTTCAATAAAAATTCAACAAATAAAATCCATTGATATGAAGTTCAAGTTCATGTGGATTGAATTTAGGATTCCCTTAAAGCTTCAGTCTGTCACTTTTTAGCTCCAACACAGACTACAGTAAATTTCATTGTTTTTAGTATTATTTTATTTTATATTATTTTTTTATTGCATAAAGAAACAGGTGTCATTACTTGAGCAGACTTGCATCTCCACAAACCTGACTCTTGTTTGTGTGAAGGAGAGCCTTCACCTGCTCGTCTCCATGGAGGTGTTGTTATCTTGGCTATAATTCCACACACAAATATATTCATGTCCATGGAGAATGTTCTGAAGTATGGTTTAGAAAGTTCCATAGTGATGCTTTAAATGTAACTGTTGTCTGTGTGATCTTCCTCTCACATTCTAACGCTCACTGTTCATGTTCTTGTGCAGATGAGAGTGTGTGTGAGCGTGCTGGCCCTGGCAGTGCTGCTGTGTGTGCAGTGGCAGGTGCAGGCAGGTGAGTCCACACTTTCTCCACTATAAACACTAACTGTAGGTTCTCCAGTGTTCTGCAGGAGGACATGGTCCACGTCCATCTATGAGCAATTCAGTTTTTGAGAGAAATATCCAAACAGTAAATCCACAATTTAACATTTGATGTCAGAAAGTGACTTTTCAAATTTGCCAAATGAAAGATTGTCTTAAAAGATAATTTGCTCTGACGGAGAAGAATCTCCAGGTTTAGAGTGATGTAGACCGGCCGAGTCAGGACACTCTGTAAACTGAGTCTATAAACACTGTGGGTACTTGCCTACCTTTATTTGAGCATATTTTTTTAATGAAATTGTACTTTTATAGTAGCATACTTTTACGTCTACTTGAATAATATTTATATTGAACTAACAGTACTCTTACTTGAGAATAAGTTGTGGTTCCTCTTGACAAAAGTGTTCCATTTGATTCAGTTTGAGTCATGTTTGAGTGTCGTGCAGATGTTGTGCTGGTCTGTGCTTCTCTCTCCTGATGGTGTCACTGGTGTGTTCCAGATCTGAGCCGAGCTGAGATCCAGAGAGCTGTGAGAGCGGCCAAAGTCAGTGTGGACTCAGCCTACGAGTACTCCAGGAGGGAGTGAGTACTACTCTGTTATACTTGACTTTTTACAGTGTTTATTTGTACTATTGACTCCGTCACACTTTGCACAGTGAAGTCATATTTAACTGCATTTACAGTCTCTAGAAGTCAGACATGTTCTTTTTATTCTAACTTGATACATATTTTTACTCTGTAGTGACTAATAAGGTCTGCTGATATTCTGTGCATGGATTCTGTCTAGAACATGCTCTGAGGAGAAACGTTTGTCAAAGCAAAACTGTATCAGCCATTTTGCTGCCCACCTAAAAGAGCAGATGTGCAGCGCCCCCTAGCTGTTGTCACCAGACTTTATCTTTGACATTTCCCTCTTGTGGCCTTTTGGTTACCCCAGCCACAAGGCTTCATATAAACCCCACCCTGACCCCCGCTCCTCCCTGTGCCCCGCTGCAGGAGCCTGTCTCGGGTGAGGAGGAACTTGGCGTCTCCTGCAGATCGCCTGAGGCTCATGAAGAGCCCGGTGGGACAGACCCGAGAGGCAGCGAGGTGTGCAGACTACATGAACATCGCCCTGAACTACCTCCAGAACCCAGAATTACATCACATCAGACGCAGACGCGACACCTCCAACAGCACCAGTGAGTGATAATGAATAATATCTATATATCTATATATATATCTATCTATCTATCTATCTATCTATCTATATCTATATATATATATATATATATATATATATATATATATATATATATATATATATATATATATATATATATATATATATGAACTTATTACAAGTTGGTGAGACCTGAGCTGTGGTCACATCATGCAGCAGACCTTGGTTTCAGGGGCTGTTTTTAAAATGCAGTGTCCAGTCAGATGTTCAGTTCAGAGCTCTTCTTCTGCTGTGCCCTGTACCTGTCACTAACCTCCTCCTCCTCTTCCTCCTCTTCCTCCTCTTCCTCTTCACCCTCAGACTTGACAGACAACGACATGGCCGCGGTGGCAGCAGAGAGCGGCTGTGCCCGCCTCACTGCAGAACCCTCCTGTTCCAGTGTGCCCAACCTGTACAAGTACCGCACTGCCAACTCTGTGTGCAACAACCTGTGAGTACAGCGCCCCCTGCTGAACCAGCACCATCATCTATACAGTCAGCACAGTCGCTTACACTGTATCATTTTGTCTTAGATATGTTCGGTTAAGTTAGGGATAACTTTGTTTTTATTCATACATTTAAAAAAAACAAAACTAAAAAACAAACAAACAAACAAACAAAAAAATGCAACTGAAACTTCATTTGTTTGAATTACTGTGATGGAGTTGTGATGAATTTATACTAAAACTAGTATTGAAACTCAATACAATTTTTTTTGCAGGTATCAATACAAAAAAGTCACACTGACATGACAGAAATGAACCTTTCCTGAATGTGTTTAGAATGATGTAGAACTGAATCAGAACAAGTGTCAGAGCACATAGACTAGTACACACACATGGACCACACACATGAACTTACTGCACCACTGACCATTACACACATATAAGACACATGGGAATAGAAAAGAAAGTACTTTGATTTAATGTGGAAAATGATTCTATTGTCTAAAAAAAAAGTGTCTTTATTGGAATCAGTACTGAATACTGATTTTGAAATGTTAGTATTGTGTGACATGGTTTTATAATTATTTGTTTCTTTTTATTTATATATTTATGCCATATCTATATTCTGAAGTGAAAGGCTCATTTCCAGTTAATCTGCAGTGTACACATACAGAAGTGTGATTTGTCCTGTGGCAGGGGCGAGCCTGTCTGCAGAGCCCAGGCTCAGTACAGTGAGTCTAACAGAGGTGTTTGTCTGCAGGAAGCACCCGCTGTGGGGAGCATCCAACACCCCCTTCCGGCGCCTCCTGGCGGCAGAGTACCAGGACGGAATATCTCTGCCCAAGGGCTGGGACCCCGATGTCAAGATCAACCAGCACACCCTTCCACTGGTACACTTCTCTGCCTTCCCCCAGTCTTATTGGAATCTTTAGAAAAAACTGAATGAATCATGTGGAGGTGAAGAGTGAGTGTGGCCCATTGTAATGAGTGAGTGAAAATATTAGGTTTGGGTCTGTTATGTTCTAGAAGTTCATTTTAAATACATATTTATTGGCTTTTACAAAGGGTCTGATCAAGTGGTAACAGAGGGAAACAGGGGCAGATTTTTGACATTCAAATGTCTCTTATTCAGAAACTAGAGGGACTATTGAAATAAGTAAAGTATCAGAATGTAGGAAAGAGTTACACTCCAACAGGATCAAGTTAAACCTGTGATATTCTTTCAAGTTGTTGACAAAAAATGTAAAAACTCATGTCGGTAACGGAGGGAATGAAATATGCAGCACTTTTTGGGCAATAAATCCAAACAGTGATAACTCTTGGTTCTCACTTCCATATCCTTAACAAACTGGTTTGAATATTTACTTCATATAGTTTTCTACCATATGGTACAAGATTAGGTTGAAAAACCTCTTACTTTTTGACTCATGAGATTTTTTTTATTAAGAAAGGTCATGGTAACAGAGGGAAAACTGTAAAAGGTAGAAGGTGCATGATTTTACATCATTTGTTGCTTTTTTCTTCCAAATACTTTAATATTACTTCAAAATGAAAGGAAACTATTTCTATAAATATGTCAGTCCTTCCAAGCAAATTTTTATCATTTTAAAGACTTTTTTTTTTTGAAAAATCCTGTACCTTCATCAACAGTTCAAAGATGGAATAACACAAGATATGATGAAATACATTTATTGACATGATTTGCAGGTCTTTGAAATTTGGGAAATAATGTTTGTTCCATGTTTCATACATGGTCTGTTTAAAACATATGGAACTTTAGAACCAAAAATGGTACAGAAAAAAGGTCAACAGTTTCATAAACTAGAGTACATATGTATCTGTTCAATACATTTTTATATCAGATGCATTAACTTGAATTTTTGGCCTTGATGTTTACTTCTGCTTGACCGGGCCCAAAGGCAAAGTAAAATAGAATTGAAAATGGAGTTTCTTAGTAGATGCTCTTGTGCCCTCTAGTGGCCATTGTGGGTCAAAACAGCTCATGGAGATTTGGAGTGAAAACTGTTTTTTTGAATAGGCAAAGTGTTTTTTCTTGCAAATGTTACCTGTCAGCTGTAAAACTCTAATCAACCATTATTTAAAATACATTTACCTATTCGTTACGAAGCCACAGTATGTAACTTTTTAGTGAAAAATTGACTAAAATAAATATTTTTATTGCACTGAAAAATGTAGAAAAATCTTTGTTACTGTGAGCGGGCTTGCTTCTCCACAAACATGACTCTTCTTTGACCTGGAGGAGGACCTCGTTAGAAATGCTCTTCCTTTGGCTATAATCTTCCACAGTATGATTTAAAACATGTCTATCTCCATGAAGAATGTTTCAAAGTAGCTTTATTTCCCTGCAGGTGACTTACTGCCTCTAGAAAGTTACATACTGTAGCTTTAATGCAGTGATTCTTGCGCTGCACCTGTCGACTTCTTTGGTATTGCTCATTCTGATGATGTTATTTTGGTGGTGCAGGTGAGAAACGTGTCCAACCACATCCTGAGCACGGGGAACACAGTGGACGATGACCCTCTCTTCTCCATGATGGTGACCTTCTTTGGTCAGTGGACTGACCATGACCTGACCCTGACCCCTCACTCTCCGGTCATCAGCTCCTTCAACTCCACTGAGACCTGTGAGAAGACGTGTGAGCGTTCTTTACCCTGCTTCCCCATAGAGGTACCACTCTCCATCTGTGTGCAAGAAGATAGATCCAACAGGAGCTTATGCAGATACAGTCAGGTCCTCACCTGAAACAATCCACTCTGGTGGTTTTCAGATCAGAGAATGTCCCAGATAGGGTGATGCATTTCAGCTGCCTATACCACTCGCTTTTCATAGCTTTTTTGTCCAGTCAGACTAGTTAAAGCAGGGATCTCCAACCTTTTGCATCCGGTGAGCTCCTTTACAAAATGAAAATGCCGGAGAGCTACTCACTTTAGCAGTCGCAAGAAATTGTTTCGATACAAAAGAGCAAGACTTAAATGTACAGTTAGATGCCTATAGATCATTAAACCATTATCCATTTATTAGTGCATAAAGTTCAAAGTAACACATTTACAGTATAATATGTATAATTCAGAATTCCTTTGGCAAGCAACTTGTAAGAGAGCAGAGAGCTGCTGACAGTTACTAGTCTACAGGCTGGAGATCCCTGAGTCTGAAGATTTAAACTATGTGGAACCAAGTGCCTGTAAATATTCATTGTTATATAACAGTTGTCATGTCTGTGGATCAACATGAGAGAATGGATGAAGTGGGCGGGGCTAACAGATACATGTTCCTCATTTTGGTCATTTTAATGCAAACTAGGTCAATTAGCAGCTTTGTGTGTCCTAGTTTCAGTGGTCACTGCAATTTCTACTACATGACATCACTCATAACTGGAGTTTGAAGTGTGGATACCTGTTAGACCAATCACACTGTGTATCTGACCCCCAGACCCTGCCCCACCAGACCCCGCCCCTCCTCCCCCACACTCTCCCCTTTAGTCCTCCAGACCCCGCCCCCTCCTCCCCCACACTCTCCCCTTTAGTCCTCCAGACCCCGCCCTCCTCCCCACACTCTCCCCTTTAGTCCTCCAGACCCCGCCCCTCCTCCCCCACACTCTCCCCTTTAGTCCTCCAGACCCCGCCCCTCCTCCCCCACACTCTCCCCTTTAGTCCTCCAGACCCCGCCCCTCCTCCCCCACACTCTCCCCTTTAGTCCTCCAGGTTCTGCTCAGTTGAGCTGTTCTGTTTGAAATGTGGTTGTGGGTGGAGTTAAGTTTATGTATAACCCTGCCCCCTGTGCCCAGGTGCCCAGTGGAGACCCGCGGCTGCCCCAGGGCGGGTGCATGCCGTTCATCCGCTCGTCGCCGGTGTGTACGGGCAGTGCGGTCAGGGAGCAGATGAATGCCCTGACCGCCTTCGTGGACTTGGGGCAGGTGTACGGGTCAGACCAGACCCAGGCCCGGGCTCTCCGGAATCTCTCCTCAGATGAGGGCCTCTTGAGGGTCAACCAGCAGTACGATGACAACGGGCGCGAGCTCCTGCCCTTCAGCACCATGGACATAAACATGTGTGCCACCAGGGCGAAGATCACCAACGACTCCAACGCACAGGAGGTGCCCTGCTTCAAGGCGGGTGAGTTGGACGGAGTATTCTAATGCTCTTCTGATCAGTCTAATATGATCATGACGTTTAGCTCATATCCTCTGGGTATGGAGGGACATTTTGGATCTTTAAAGGCACCCTTACCAGATTTTTACTGTCTTAAAAATGTGAAAAACAGAACTAGCTCATTTTAAACAGTGTTTCCAAAGTTCCTCACTTACCTTAGACATTCTGAGCATCCTAATTATTCACAAGTTTGTTGAGTTTTTGTCACTTTTACAGTAACAAGAACTTGCTGCTTACACACACTTCCTGACTACTGACAGTAAAATGCCTTATAATTAGATGCAGAAATGCTCAGTAGACTTATTTTGCCCTCAAAAGTGGCATATACAATATATGTGCACTGGGGAATTATTTACTCGAAAAATATTGTGTGCAGAACCTTTGAAGAAACACTATTTTCGGTCTATGCTCTAATGTCATTTCCTCATCACAAACACACCTGCAGTTGTGTTTTGTTCATTTACACTGGTTTAACACACAAACCCTGCACATTTAGACTTCACTCAAACAGAAAACACTGTTCCACTTTGTGATGTCATGTTAAAGCACAGGAAATCCTCTACTGTGTTTTTAAACTCCATACAAGTTCCCCAGTATCATTTGGATAATTTCACAAAGAGATTGCCAAAGTTTACTGAACTAAAAGTTAAAGGAGCTGTTCACTTGAAACCTACTGGCTCATGACATCACATGGAGCTTTGGAGATGCAGACAGACTAATAAGAAAGAGTTACTCAAACATGTGTGAATGAAACAAAACACAACTCCAGGTCTGTTTGTGAGGAAGTAACAACAGTCTAACATTAAAGTTAACAAGAGTCCATGTAGTGTGAGACAAGAGCTTTAAAGTTGTTGTCATTGTGCAGGTGACGGGCGTGTGGATGAGAACATCGCTCTGACAGCGCTGCACACGCTCTTTTTGAGGGAGCACAATCGCCTGGCCCGCAGGCTGGCACTGCTCAACCCTCACTGGGGTGGGGAGAGACTGTACCAAGAGGCCCGCAAGATCCAGGGGGCTGTTTCACAGGTACACACACACACACACACACACACACACACACACACACACACACACACACACACACACACACACACGCACACACACGCACACACACGCACACACGCACACGCACACACACGCACACACACACAAAATAGAGCAGTGTCTCAGGCTAACTCTGGCCCTCCCTCTGCCCGTTCCTTCAGGTGATCACGTACAGGGACTACCTGCGGCACATCGTGGGCCCTGATGTGATGGCCAGCCGTCTGTCCTTGTACCCAGGCTACGACGACAGGGTGGATCCCAGTATCTCCAACATGTTCGCCACCGCTGCCTACCGCTTCGCGCACCTCATGATCAAGCCGACCATCTCCCGCTTCAACGAGCAGTACCAGGAGCACCCCATCTACAGGAGCCCCCTGCTGCACAAAGCCTTCTTCGTCCCCTGGAGGATGGTCTTTGAAGGTACAGCCCTCACTACTGAGTATTATGGGATTTTGAGAAACGGGGCACTATGTGCGTCTGCCACCTGCTGATGCTGGAACTTAGTCTGGAATGTTCCACAGTGTGGTTATTATCTAAGTGCATTCAGTCCATGAATTTAAGGATGATGAACAGTTGCCTTAGCAACGGGCAATTCCAGATATTATGTTTTGAACAGTCACCTGTCCATAAACTGACACTGTACATCAGGAGGCTGAGCCCATGAACAGGCATGCTATTGCCCAAATACTATTGAAGGATTCATTGTCTCCATGGAGATAGATAAGTTTAATGCCATGCAAAGGAACATTCAAGGCAATACAATATCATCTCTATGGAGACAAGCAGGTGTTAGACCCTCTACCAGAAAATGTACATGATGTACCTTTAAGGCTTAAAACGCTTCATGATTTCATACAAATATATTCACGGGCTTCAGACTAACACTTCCTCCTGATCTGAGACTTTGTGAGGACCTTTCCTCTTTCAAAGAGACAATATTTGATTTAAATTGTTTCAGGACAGCAGCCAGCTCCAAACCCCCGAATATCCAGTTTGTTTGTGACCCCTAGTGGCCAGTGTGGCTCCCTGCATGTGCCCAGTCTGTTGAAAAGCTAGAGACACTTGAATGTGCTGAAGCGGGGCATGTTTTATGTCATCATGTTTATGCACAGTTTTTCTTTAGAAGGGCACATGAGGACTCTTTACTATTCACTAGACAAGATTTTCATTTAAAAATGGTTAATTGTCCCCAGATGAAACCCTTGGATAGTCTGTTTTTTAAATCTCCACACATACATCAGCTCATCTTCTCTATGTGCAGACTGTGCTGCTCATTACTGTGTTGAAAGTGCACATATACATAAACAGTATACTAGTATAAAAATGTATAAATGTGCACATATGTGACCCTGTCCCTGTGTGCTGGTGCCCCCTGCAGGTGGAGTGGACCCCCTCCTGCGTGGCATGGTGGGCACTCAGGCCAAACTCAACACACAGAATCACATGATGCCCGACGAGCTCCGCGAGAAGCTCTTCAAGTTCACCGAGGCTGTAGCACTGGACCTGGGCTCTCTGAACATGCAGCGGGGACGGGACCACGGCCTTCCAGGTACTGCCCCACACGAGCACCCCCCACACAAGCACCCCCCACACGGGTATCCCCCACACGAGCACCCCCCACACGGGTACTCTCACTTAGGTTTAAAATAGAACTAAGCCCGGACTAAACATGGTCTAAACAAGAACAAAAATCACGACGAGGGACTACATATATTAAAACTTTACAGGACTAAACTTGGTCTAAACCTTGGACTAAACAAATTCTAAACCGAGATTAAACCAGACCTAAACAAAGTGGACTATACTAAGACAAAACCATGTTAGAAATAGGACTAAACCAGGCCTGCGAGGGGTAAACCTGGGGTAAATCATCATTGATCTAGTACCAAACCAAGTCTGACATGAGACTATAGGACTTGACCAGGACTGTAGAACCAAACCAGGTCTAAAACAGGACTAAAGCAGGTCTAAAAATACTCTTGAGACGGTATAGAAACCAGAACCTGTGCTCAAGCCTCATTAGCTACGTCATCAGTCAAAAAAGTAAACTGGTCATGTAAACCAGCCATGTTCTCACTGTGCGCTCCGTCCTCCAGGCTACAACGCGTGGAGGGGCTTCTGCGGCCTGTCCCAGCCCAAGACGGTGGCAGAGCTGGGGCAGGTGCTGGGGAACAATAACCTGGCGCAGAAGCTGATGGACCTGTACGGGACCCCAGACAACATCGACCCGTGGCTGGCAGGCATGTCCGAGCCCCTGGTCCCCGGGGGCAGGGTGGGCCCGATGTTCGCCTGCCTCATCGCCGATCAGTTCCAGAGGATACGCCAGGGGGACAGGTACCACTGCAGGGGTGTGGGGGGTTTAAGGGAGGGACATGAGTCAAGGGTCAAAATACTGAACCAATATCATAGACTTAGACAAACTTCATTGATTCACAGGGAAATGATTTGGACACAGGAGCTCACACATCACAATATAATCTAATACTAAAGACAAAAATGTAAATGGTGATAATAAATTCAAATAAGAAGCAAACATAGAAAGATTGTATAAATGTAGATGTACAAGTGAAAGTAAAGTATAGAACACTGCAATACAAATATAACTCAGCTCTACATAAGAGGTCATGAGGAGAAGTAATGATTGACTGGACACAGGGTTTTCTTTTCTCTATCGATGTGTTTGTTATAATGAAGCTAAAATGACCCTTTCATTTCATTTCTTTATTTGTTTGAGCCAGGTACAACAAAATTCAAAAACAGCAACAAAAATAGTGATATGTACATGAACATATTTGGGACCTGGTGCTCAAAAGGAGGAGGATGAAGTTTAAAAAACTTATGGAGTCCCTACCCCAATTGTTTTACATAATCATGTTTTTCACTTTTTTTTTTTTTCACCCTTGTGCCATTGTGCTGTGTGCAGACTGTGGTGGGAGAATGAAGGTGTGTTCACCGAGAGACAGAGACGGGCCCTCCGTGACGTGTCCCTGGCCCGGATCATCTGTGACAACACCGGCATCACAGAGGTCCCCCGGGAGCCCTTCCAGTACCGGCCCCGAGGGACCGGCTACGACTCCTGTAGCGACATCCCGGAGCTGGACCTGTCTCCCTGGGAGGAGAACCAATGTGAGTCCCTCTACACCCCCTAACCCCACCCCCTCTGAAGCTGTGTCAGGGACAATGGGACTAACAGTGTCTTCTGTCTGTGTTTGCAGTGCGAGGACCCCCGGGACCTCCAGGACCTCCAGGTAAACTCACTAGTGTTGTCATGTTTTATCCACATAACATCCAAAACATATCCGGAGTTTAACACGCAAACCCTGCAGATTTTGAGTTCTTCTCTCAAACAAAAAAACACTTGTGATGTCATGTGGTGATACAGGAAGTGCTCCAATGTGTTTTTAAACTCCACACACCTTCACTAGAATCATTTAGATTATTTCAGACCTGGACTTGCCAAGCTGTACTGAATTAAATGTAAAAGGAGCTGTTCACTTGAAAACTACTGCTTCATGACATCACAAGGTGGAACAGAACATTATAACATTGATTAAAGCTCAGAAGAGACATTTTGTGTAAAATAGGGACTTCAAACTAAAATAAATCAAACCTGAGAAAAATAGTCCTGACTTGAGTTCAACCATTTGGACAGTTTTGGTCAGTTCTGTTGATCAGTGTGTTGATCATCAGTGAGGAACTCTCTAGAACAGAACTCTACTCTACTTCAACGTTTCTTCACACTTGCTTCTTTGATTGGTGTAAAACTATAATGTATATATATTTTTTATGTTTATTAACGACATCACAATCACAGTAGACAAGCCAGATGCATTGCTTTGAGTGTTTTAGCACAAGTGTTAGTTTTCAACACCTGTCCATATAAAAATATAAACTACACACATAAAAACAGAGAATACAAGACACATAAATTACATACACAGAAAATATATACAGTACATTTTCAATGGATGCATTTTTAATTGGAAACATACAATAATTTTAATTTCCTTTTAAATTTGTTGTTATTGGTTTCCAATTTTAAATGAGCTGGTAAAACGTTCCACAGAGTGGCCCCTTTAAAAGAGAACGAGGACTGACCAAGAGTCGTCCTGTACCGAGGAACAACACAATCACCACGAGTAGCGCCTCTTGTGTTCGCTCTGTGTGAACATTTTATGATCCTGGCAAATTCTGAGTGCAGTGGTGTATCTCAGTTAAGACACTTAAAACAGAATTTAAGATTATTAAAATTGGTAACATTTTCAAAGTTAAAAGGTTGATGTTTCTTTATAATGTCACAGTGGTGCTGGTGTTTGGGCTTTTTGTCAAGGATCTTAAGGGTCAGTTTGTATAATGAACAAAGCGGTTTCAATGTAGTTGAGGAGCCTGGGACCATGAGGTGATACAATAAGATCGATAAGAGATCATTGCCTTCATGAATAGTTTAGAGGTGTGGAGCGATAGATCTTTACGTATGAAACGAAAGCAACTGAGACTAGTTTTAATCTTCTTCGCCAAGTATTTTGTGTGACCGATAAATATGAAATTTAATCTAGAATGAGGCCAAGGTATTTAACTTCACTGGTATTATCCCAGCAGAATAAGTCAAAATTAGAGAATCATCAAAAACGGCCATACACATTTAAATGTCCTTTAAGTTATGGTACTGTAAGTTAAAAAGAAAGGAAATTGCTATGATGTTTAACATGTCTGTTTTCCTCCAGGACCCCCAGGACCCCCTAGCGGAACCCCTAATGTGGCCTTCTCCGCTCGCCTGGGCAACAACTTCCCCGCAGAGCACAAAGCCATCGTGTTCCAAGACGTGCTGTACAACCACCCGGGGCACTACAACCAGAAGCGCGGCCGCTTCGAGTGCAAAGTCGCCGGAGTCTATGAGTTCCACATGACTCTGGTCATCAAGGACGCCTCTGTGGGCGTAGACATGATGCTCAACGGGAACCGCCTCCTGCACTCCTACAACACACACCACGGCGGCTCTATCATGGCCAGCGGCACCACCATCACCCGCCTGAAGAGGGGCGATGAAGTCTACCTCGTCATCAGTGAAGGCAGCAACAGCATCCTGAAGGACAGCCAGTTCACCGGACACCTGCTGTTCGAGAACAAGAACGAGCTCTGAAGCGGCACCGGACCAGGACAGGACCAGGACAAACTCAGGACAAAATAAGAATAAAATCTAAATAAAATCAAGACAAAATCAGAAAAAAGCCAAACAAAAGGAGAACAAAATCTAGACAGAATAAAATCTAAATAAAATTAGAACAAAATTAGAACTAAATTTGGACAAAAACAGGACTTCACCACGACCAAACCTGAATAAATCCAAGTAATAAAACCCAAACTGGAAAACAAAACAAAACTAAACCAAGACTGTAAAAGGTCTGGTTTGAAACCGAAGTGTGTTGTGCTCTACAATACTGTGTATTACTCTATGCACAACACAGTGAATGTGTTCAGGATTTATAGTATATTTATAGAGTATAAAGTTTATACAGAAACACAGAAGCATTAGTACATTTTAAAGAGCCACACTCAAAATGAGATGAAAATAATGAAGTATAGTATTTAAGTATTTTACATTGTTTAAACAAGAAGAACATTTTAGTGACTTTTCTATGAATTATGCTGAATGATTCTTTTAATGTGCTAAATTTCAAGCGATGAAGCCGCAGCAGACTTGAAGCTGTAAATCTGGGAGAATGAAGAGGTTCGTTAGTTATAATATGTAAATGAATCAGTCTTTTTTTCTTGAATAAATAAAACAGTATTAATATTAATTAAATGATGCAATGAATGTCTTTCTTTAATTGTCACTGCACACGGCACCAATCAGTCTGATAAACACAAACAAATAAACACACAAACAGCTGTAGCTCCTTTCAAGAGTCCATATTAGACTATTTTATAATCTCTGTTCTAATGTCGTTTCCTCATCACACAGTGTTGGGAAGGTGACTTTTAAAATGTATTCCCCTACAGATTACAGATTACGCACTCCGCAATGTAGTTTGTAATTTAATCCATTAAATTACTTAAAGTGAGTAACGTAATCTGAATACTTTGGATTACTTGATATTGTCCTGCTTTTTAAAACTACATCCTGCAAATTCTTGTTTGTTCTCTTCAAATTGTCTCCATGAATAAGCAACTGTTCACTGTAGAGAAGCAAATACAGGATCTGAACATAAGATGTTTAGTCCTGGTTTTAGTTCCTAGTTTAGTCCTGGTTTTAGTCCTAGTTTAGTCCTGGTTTATTCCTGGTTTTAGTCCTAGTTTAGTCCTGGTTTAGACCTGGTTTAGACCTGGTTTATTCCTGGTTTTAGTCCTAGTTTAGTCCTGGTTTAGACCTGGTTTAGACCTGGTTTAGTCCTGGTTTAGACCTGGTGTTATTTGTGGTTTAGAGGCACACAGGCAGAAGCGCGGTCCACACACGGCACACGGGAGGGACATAGCCCAAAATGTGAAAACAGGATAATACCACCATGTAATCCATTTATTTTAACACTGTAACTGTAATCCAATTACCACTCACTGAAACAGTAACTGTAACTGAATACAGTTACTCATAATTTGTACTCGGATTACGTAACTCCAGTATATGTAATCTATTACTCCCCAACACTGGTCATCACAAACAGACCTGGACTTTTGTTTCATTTACACACATTAACACACAAACCCTGCACATTCAGACTGAGTTTTTCTCTCAAACTGAAAACAATCACTAGAATCATTTGGAGGATTTCAACCCTGAAACTGAAGTAAAGGTAAAAGGAGCTGTTCTATGATGTCACATTTTGAGTTTTGGAGATGTAAACAGACTAATAATAAAGAGTTACTCAAACATGTGAATAAAACAAAACACAAGTCCATTATAATAACAACAGTAACATTCTGACATGGTTTAACCCTCGTGCACCCTTTAAACATACTTACATCTGTGCTCCTTCAGGGCAAAAATGTACATCAAAAAAGAATACCACAATATTTTTATGCAGTACAGAATTTTGCCCAACTTTTTTATATCAGTGTCTTCATTTACTTCTGCTCATACCAAAAATATATATATATATATATATATATATATATATATATATATATATATATATATATATAGGGAGGCATCACATAACACCGATGCACAGTGGCTGGTGGATCTGAGAGAAGACCACAGCAACCTCCCTGAACAGAATCCAGTCACCATCACAGTGGCAGACATCCAGGGAAGAGTCTCAGGTATGAAAAACTGGACCGCACCGGGCCCTGACATGATCCATGCGTACTGGCTAAAGAAGCTCACTGCCCTCCACGAGCGCCTGGCAGCACAAATGAACCAGCTGCTAAGGGATGGGACTCACCCTGAATGGTTAACCCAAGGGCGTACGATCCTGATCCTAAAGGATCCTTCAAAGGGTGCAGTCCCATCCAACTATCGGCCAATAACCTGTCTCTCCACAACATGGAAGCTCATGTCAGGCATCATTGCGGCTAAGATAAGTGGGCACATGAATCAATACATGAGTGCAGCACAGAAGGGTATCGGCAAAAACACCAGGGGAGCCAAACACCAACTCCTGGTTGACCGAACAGTCGCCCGCGACTGCAGAACCCGTAAGACCAACCTGTGCACTGCCTGGATTGATTACAAGAAAGCCTATGACTCAATGCCACACACATGGATCACTGAGTGCTTGAAGCTGTACAATATCAACAGGACTCTAAGGGCGTTCATTGCGAACTCAATGCGGTTGTGGAAAACCACCCTTGAAGCCAATGGGAAGCCACTTGCACATGTGTGCAGAGTACGGGCTGGAAACCCCAGGATCAAGGTGGGAAACACCTCCAAAGGTTGTGGAGAATGACCGAGCCAAGATCCTGTGGGACTTCCAGATACAGACTGACAGAATGGTGATGGCGAACCAACCAGACATAGTGGTGGTGGATAAGAAACAGAGCAGAGCCGTGGTGGTTGACATCGCAATACCAAGCGATGTAATATCAGGAAAAAGGAACACGAGAAGCTAGAGAAATACCAGGGGCTCAAGGAAGAGCTGGAGAGAGCCTGGAAAGTAAAGGCATCAGTGGTGCCTGTGGTGATCGGAGCACTCGGGGCTGTAACCCCCAAACTGGAAGAGTGGCTACAACAGATACCGGGAAAAACAATGGACATTTCAGTCCAGAAAAGTGCAGTACTGGGAACAGCAAAAATACTGCGCAGAACTCTCAAGCTCCCAGGCCTCTGGTAGACGACCCGAGCTGAATGAGGGTGAGAGACCAACCACCGTGAAGGTGAGAAACACATTTATATATATATATATATATATATATATATATATATATATATATATATATATATATATATATATATATATATATTTAACCCTTTAAATGCCATTTTAACAGCAAAAGTCTCAACATTTTATGCATGAAAAAAATGAAAAAACTGGAGTATTTCTATATTTATTAAATCATTTAAATTTGTTTGTGTTGGGGTTGATGAGGTTGGGGATGTCATAAAATAGTGGCAACATTGATTTGAAAATTTTTCAAGTTTTTGCACAAACTCAAATAGTTACATCTGTGGTCCTTCGGGACAAAAATGTGTATCGGAAAAGAACATCATACTTTTTAAAATGTAATACAGACTTTTCTTCAACTTTTTATATCATTGTCTTCATTTACTTCTGCTCTAATCATGCATACCACAAAATATATAATATTTTGACATTTTAACCCCTTAAATGCCTTTATTGACAGCAAAAGTTTCAAATTATGTGCATGAAAAAAATAGATTTTTTTTTTTTTCTAAATCTTTCAACTAATTTTAACTTGTATATGATGGGGTTATCAGAGGCTGGGGATGTCATAAAATAGTATCAACACTGATTTTGACAGTTTTTTTGTTTTTGCACAAAATGCTGTTTTCCCCTAAAGCCCCATTGACGTCCATTATAACCGCACATTTTTTGGTTGCACTGACATAACACTAGAAAATCATAAATTGTGGATTATTACAGGTTTCTCTTGTTACGAAAAGGTCAAATTTGTGATTTTTACAATTCAAACCCAACTCACCCTGTTACACCTTGTGCAGGTGTGTAGCAAACACAGCTGGAGTTTTCCTATGATTTCTTATGGAGTTCTATGGGATTTTCAGGGATTATGTACAGGAGGGTAGTAGTATAAGATAAAATAAGATATACCTTTATTAGTCCCACAGTAGGGAAATTCCAGTGTTGCAATGAGCAAATCAAGACAGCAGGAAAAAAGCTAACATGCAATGAAATAGATAATAAATAATGGCTTAAAAACTATTTTAAAATAGACTTAAAAATAATTGCACATGGATATAGTTGAAGGGCACATGCTTGTTTGTTGTAAAGTCTGACAGCAGCAGGAAGGAAAGACCTGCGAAAACTCTTCTTCACACAGCGAGGGGGAATCAGTCTGTCACTGAAGCTGCTCTCCAGAGCAGACAGAGCGTCCTGCAGGGGGTGAGACTCATGGCCCAGCATAGAGATGACCTTAGTCAGGACCCTCCTGTCCCCCACCTCCTGCACTGAGTCCAGGGGACAGCCCAGGACAGAGCTGGACTTCTTGATGACCTTGTCCAGCTTCTTCCTCTCCCTCTCTGTGATGCTGCTGCTCCAGCAGACCACACCGTATGGAATGGCTGACGTCACCACAGAGTCATAGACGGTCTTCAGGAGTGGCCCCCCCACTCCAAAAGACCTGAGTCTCCTCAGGAGATAGAGCCTGCTCTGGCCCTTCCTGTACAGTGCATCTGTGTTGTGAGTCCAGTCCAGTTTACTGTTCAGATGAACACCCAGGTCCACTCTCTCAATGTCCCTTCCCTGGATGTTCACTGAGGGGGCAGTAGAGTGGCGTCTGCGGAAGTCCACCACCATCTCCTGGGTCTTCCCTGCGTTGATGAGGAGGTGGTTCTCCTGACACCAGTCCACAAAGTCCTGTATTAGGGCCTGGGGTGGGTACTGGGGGGTGTTGGGGGATGAGTGTGTGTATATTCACATGCATAGGTCTGTGTGGGGTGGTGAAGGGGGGTCACATTTGCACTGTGTAAAAATGACTGAAAACATAAATATTATGGTCATGCTTGAAATGGTGGACCTAAAAATCACAGAAAATCTTCAAACCTCCAAAAAACAGTCAAACGTAAAATTTTTTACACATTTGAACAAACTGACAGGAAAAAAACAAGTATCAAGTGAAATCAAATTGCAATTACTCTGCTTTAAAAAAAATATGTTTTCAGTGTTTATCAGTAGAGTCGTAAACAATGACAGAAACCTGAAAATGTACTCACACACAATCAGTGTTGGGAAGGTGACTTTTAAAATGTATTCCCCTACAGATTACAGATTACATACCCCAAAATGTAGTTTGTAACATAATCCATCAAATTGCTTAAAATGAGTAATGTAATCTGAATACTTTGGATTACTTGATTTGCTGTAGAGAAGCAAAGACGAGGAAATCATCACACGAGATGTTTTATCTGCTAAAAGAAAATAAAAAGCCCAGACTTTACTGAACCAAATTAAAAATATTATTGATAGAAGAGGAAGAGACACGGTCCACACAGCATGATTTAGTCCTGTTAAATCCTGTTTTAGACCTGGTTTAGACCTGGTTTAGTCCTGGTTTAGACCTGGTTTAGGTTTACCTGGTTTACCTGGTTTAGACCTGGTTTAGACCTGGTTTAGACCTGGTTTAGACCTGGTTTAGTCCTGGTTTAGTCCTGTTTAGTCCTGGTTTAGTCCT